GAGTCGATCGGACATCAGCTTCAAAAAAATATTTCTTGATATTTTTCAAACGCTATCTTTAAATTCTTTGGCCAACAAAAGATAGTTAAAGAATGACTATACTTTATACTCTGAAAATGCGGGTTTTGGGTCACAACTTATAGATTGGGATAATGCAAGAATTTTTTGCGTTATAAGAAAAGCTTGAAAACCTGCACATAACATACTCATAATAAAGAAACTTGCATTTACAAGATTTGACGCTTGGTAGATTTATCAGGCCTAAAGCAAAACCGTTCTTTGACGACTGCCTTAATCTTTCCCACACTGCCCTTCCACAATAATTGCCTCAAATTTTGGAATATTTTTTTTGTGGATGAGGATATCACAATTATTATCTAATCGTCAGATATGCACTCATTCGACCCCATTTTGTAGAAGCTGATGCATGGTGTTTGTCAGCTCTTGTCCTCACGTAAGCCATTTTCTCCCACCTAATTGGACTACATCAAGTGTTTTACTTTCACTGAAATTTAGTAGTTTTGGAAGTGATCCCCCCAATAAAATCAGTATAACTACGCTCCTTTGCATTCCTGGGATGAGCCTAGAGGATTTTCAAAGGGCACGCCCTTCAAATAAATTCTTTTTTTTTTTTACTCAGGGATGGAACTCGGAATATTTTTGTTATTATTCTTATTTAAAGTTCCTCATCGTCAAAATCTCTTTTTTGAACAGGAGCACATAGTAATTCCTACTTTTGAAATCTAGACAGTGCATAATCCAGATAAGACCTCATTCCGACACGGCATAAAGAAGGACAAAAAATTTTTTTTTTCCTTCAATTAACTAAAATTTCAACACGATTCACACAAATATAACACATTTCATTCAAAATTAAAATTTAATAATCCGAAATTTTCATCTCAGAAGAAGGAGAAATAAAGACCCATCAAAATTTACAGCTATCGGGTCAGAATGAGGATTTCAGTTCTGTACCTAAACCAGTCATTCAGCTTTTGAGACATTTCAACTAAACTTTGGGATACAGGCTGGTACATTTAAAAGTTCATTTGTCGGAACTGGCCAGATCAGGTCTAGATTTGACATCTCGGACTATGAATTTGTCATCTAAGAGCCTATACTGGAGTTCTACACACATATAATATAATGAATTGCACATTGGTGCTAAAACTTATCGAAATTAGACGACTCAGATATGAGATTTTGGTTTAAACTTCGTTAAAAAAAATAATATAATAGTAAATAATTTGGTATTATTGGAGAACTACACCATTTAGTCGCCATAGAACGGGTTTGTTCAGCTATAAGGCCTTATCTGGATCGTATATCTTGGTTTCGTTATATACCCTCTTTGAGCACATTTTGGTCACAATTGCATCACTACTTATTTTGTTTTTGCTCTGGGTTTAAACATGCATTCACGCTCATCATTAGTTGCCACGATCGAGGGACGCCAAGTTCGTTTTAACTACAGATGGGCTAAAAGTCAACAAGAAATATCCAAATAACATAGCTTCATTGTCTCCCTCCTGCTTTTCGCAGCTTTTTCTTGGCTTTGGTCATATTTTTACTGCCACATTTTTCAGTGCTTTTTATTTTTAATTTTTATTTTTATTTTTTCCTATATCTTTTGGCAACAGTAAACTTTTCAATCGTCTGCCCCCACTCGCTGTTGACTTATTCGTCTGCCCCTAAAAATGGCAACTGCAATCTCTTACTTCCTCTTTTATTCTTTTTCATACGAAATTTCTGAGGGCATAAATTAGTACTTCCTGTTGACAAAAACAACTCCATCAATGAATTAATGGACGAATGAATGTATGTGGGATAGAACAAAGCAACAAACTTAACAAGAATTTTTACGACATTCGATTTTAATGCCTTCTGATTCTTAATGCCGGAATGTTGATGTAGTACATATATATGTGTGTATAACATACACATTTTTATTTAATCCACCTCTATTTTATAAATAAAAAATTTTCTTTAAAAGGTTTTTTTTTTGTTTTACTCCAAATGCAATATTTATACAATATTATAAATATTTTTCACTTTTTTGCATAAGATTGTCTACGTCCAAATTTAAATTCTATAAGCTTACTAAATCTCTTGCTTGTTTTTATGAATATTTTAGTAATCCTCTAAAGTCTATAAATTGTATTGATAGCCAAAATGAAAATCGAAAATTTCATACTTTTTAACTGCTTCCAACATTGGCGTTGAATTATAAGTTTTTTGCTTAATTTTATTTAAATTTAATATTTTTTTTATTTATATTCATTCACCGTTCGTGGTTCTTGTTGTTTGATGTTGTTGTGATTTTTTGGTCAATGTGAATGAGTTTCGAAAATAGACGACATCCGGTCTATGAACGCAAACGCTTAAGAATACAAAGATATGCACAAGCACAAGAAATTTACTATGTAAGCGCGTGCCCTGTTGGAAGAGCAATTGAATTGTAATCCGTTAGCTATAAATTGGTTATAAAGTTATAATTTAACTGTTGCTACTTGAATCAATTTAAAACTGAATTAGAAAGTAGTTCAAAACTAATTCTGAAATAAATTAAATTTCTTAAGTTTCTTAAGTTTTCCTACACGGTCATTACTAGCAACGTACCCACAACCCAATTTAAACATTTTACATACACGCATACACACTTATTCTAAAAAAAATTGTATTGATTCAAGATTTTCAGTGAAGAAATAAAAAAATAAATAAAATTAAAAAAAAAAAAACATAAAAAATATTAATGAATGAACGCAAATTCAACATTTTTCAGTATCCAATTCCGTCTCTGTGTTCGTGTGTGTGCGTGAGTGAGCGTGATTTTTAAGTCATGTGTGGGCACTTAAATGTGCGTCTGCTAGATATGTGGGCGCGAACATTCAAATTTGAGTACTGACATGCAAACAAAAATACAACTATACATACTGCATAACAGTTCGTACATATGTATGTGCATACATACATATTTGAAAATGTCTACTTCAAAAAGAAATTCGTTGCTGTCAACACACAACTAGAGTAGGTAAAAATCTGCAGCTGCACTTTCAAATGACACATGCTTTGATTAACATACATCTGTACACATATTTTTATTTATTAGTTGGTATTAATTTGTGCTCACCTGTCACTATAAATATACACGTACATACTACGTATGTACACATGTAGAGCTGATAGAGCCAACACGTTTTGGTGTTAATACACTTTCTAAATACCAATTTAAAAAATTAGTATAGATAAGCTAATAAGTATGTAAGTATGTGCAATTAGTGGGATTTTATTTTTAATTTTCACCAATTTGTCATCGTTAACAGGAAATATAAGAAAAGCCAACTTCCTGATTTATAAGCGCTTCATACGCATTTTGAACTTGAAAGGCTCACAAGAACCATTGAGAACTTGATCTCTCACGAATATTCTTTATCTACATATATACATATATATACCATATATATATATAAAAATGTATATAAATCTTACGTTCGTTTGTAAAGATCTACCGATTGACTTGAAATTTTGTCAGATTGCTTCTGTGGTTCCAACAGACCAAGAAACTGACCAGGCCTAGTTCGATTTATTTGCTTTTTGCTAGATTACCAGAAAGACTTTTCTTCCCTCTGTGAAGTGCACTAGTAACCGACCCAAAAAATCAAATAAAAAAACCATATTTATGGTTTGCTTTACTAGAAATTCTTTTTGTTTTAAGAGAAGTTCGTTGAAGTTAAATTTATGAATGATATGCCTACTGTTGTATCCTGGAATAAGACTGGAGGCCTGGAACCAAATTCGAAGAAGTAACATATAAGAAGACGATCAATCTATATATGTATTAATCTTTCATTCGTTTGAAAGATCCGCAATCTCGAAAAGTTTTTCACAACAGTACGAAACTTATTCTTCGATCAATTAGATTAGGGAGTAGTCAATTATCCAACAGAATTTTCATTAAGTCTCTCTTATAGAAACCCTTGTGCCTATTGACCAAAAATTGCGACAATTGATTTGTATAGGCTTCTTGAGACCAATTTTTCACCAAATGAGGGGCAAGACTATAATGTGGATGCATAAGAACCTCCCAACCAAGTTCCAGAAGCTTTTGGTGCGAGTTTGGCCGTGGAGCGCAGCTCATTGCTGATAATTCCTCGCCAGTCCCACCAAATGCACAACAAAATCATCTTGGCGGTAAATTCTGGCTTGGATACCGTTTGTTCCGTTCGTTATCGTTTGTCATTGCTGTAGGCTTGTCAACACTCGTCAGCATCCGCTTGAGAAATGGGTCGATTTTGTTACGGTTCAGCAGCGATTTGGAAATAGATATTTGGTTCATGTGCAATATTGCAGAATGTAGGACATTTTCTCCTTGCAGGAGCTCACGTTTGACATGCGCTCAAACCCTACTTATTAAAGTGACCCATTATCTTTTTTAGTACAAAATATAATTTTTCTAACATTAGATAATATAATATAAAATATAAATAATATAAAATATAAATAATATAAAATATAAATAATATAAAATATAAATAATATAAAATATAAATAATATAAAATATAAATAATATAAAATATAAANTAAAATAAAATAAAATAAAATAAAATAAAATAAAATAAAATAAAATAAAATAAAATAAAATAAAATAAAATAAAATAAAATAAAATAAAATAAAATAAAATAAAATAAAATAAAATAAAATAAAATAAAATAAAATAAAATAAAATAAAATAAAATAAAATAAAATAAAATAAAATAAAATAAAATAAAATAAAATAAAATAAAATAAAATAAAATAAAATAAAATAAAATAAAATAAAATAAAATAAAGTAAAAAAGTAAATGATGTTAAGAAAAATTACTCACTTTATTAGTATTTCTGCAGTCCATATACAAGCAACAGGGGATCAAAAATCTATTATAATTAAACAATGTTTTTTTTTTTTTTTTTTAATATCATTATCTCTAAAATATATATGTTTCCTTCTTTCACTTTTAGTTTGTTGACATTGGAATTGTTACGTCTATTGAATCCAATCATAAACAAATAGAAAGCGCACGAAAAGGACAAGAAATTTGCATTAAAATTGAGCCGATTCCCGGTGAATCGCCTAAAATGTATGGACGTCATTTTGAAGCGGACGATTTTCTTGTGAGCAAGGTAAGTTGCAAATACATAATTAACATGCATTTATATCCTCTAAAAATTTAGATTTCAAATAGTAGATTGGGATATATAAATCTTGATTACTGTTGCCTATTAATTATATGCAAAGAATTTATGCTACTATATTCGGCGGTCGCAATGGCGGAGTAGTTAGCAGTGCGTAATACCAGTCGGTCGTTCGGAGGCGGCTTAGTATAAACTGTTGGCTCCTCTATTTGTTGGGAAGACCACAAGACGCTTGGCCGCAAATTAATCAACGGTTACAAAGCGCCAAATAGATATATACTTACATATAAAGGCTCTGACTAAGTAAAATGAAATTTAATGCAAAATTTATTATTTAAACAATTTACATGTTTGTATCTAAATATGTAACGATGAATACGACATGACTAATAGATCCACTAGTTGGCGCTTGAGTCGAAACTTGGGAAAATTCTTTACTTGACTGTGCTCGCAATAAAATTTTAGATCTGAATTAATCCTAACTGCGGGGCGTTTAATCTGAGGAAGCAAATATTTCAATTGTATTCAACAGTTAAGCAAAAACCGTTTGTTTAAAATGAAAGCTACTGGAAATACGTGGAGATTAACAAAAGTTCGGTCAGTTGATGACTTTGAACTTGTTTTTGTTAAATCCAAAAATACCAAATCCTTCGCAATTACTTTATTAGTCTTCCTTTCAAATTTTAGAACAATCGGATAAAATGGAGACTGAAGATAGGTTAGACGACATTCCACCATCAACGCAAACAGAAACTCGTCATGTGATTCTTTTCGGAGTTCGGCGTGAATCCCAAACTGCATATGGAACGATTAATATCTCTAGGTGGTTTCGAAGATTCCAGACCGGACATTTTTGCGTAGATGGTCGACCAAAGTCTTCCATTAATGACGTCACTGCAGCTCTTGTGAAGTCCAAAATTGACGAAGACCCACGATTGGCGCAAGAAATGATTGCTAATGAATTGGGCTTGAATGCCCTGGCTGTACCGCGAATAGAAAGTACTAATTTGGGATATACCAAGAAATTTGTTTGATGTGTACCACGAATTTTAAATGAGGCCCAAAAAGAGGCTCGAGTGCATTTTGCTCAATTTTTTCTAAGCGAATTTGGGAATAGCCAGTCTAGTAGCTTTAGTATTCATTACTGGTGACGAATCTTGGTTCTATAAGTACGATCCAGAAACCAAACAGCAGTCCATGGTGTTGAGTCCACTGAAAAACGTGCAGACCAGGGAATAGGAGAACTGCAAAATGTTACACTGAAGAGTGTTTACCAAAAGTTTTTAAAAATTTGTTGCAAAACAGGAAGAAGGAGGATTTGCGGCGCTCTTTTTACATCAGATCATATTCCCACGACATAGCACCTAGTCATTCCTGGTTGTTTCCAAAAATTAAAAAAGATTAAATGAAAAGGTCCTTAATAGCAACGAGGAGATAATTAATGCATTTAATTCTGAGCTTTTGAAGACTGTTCCTTCAGAGGTGCATCTATAGGCTTCTGAGACGCATTTAAGTCAATGACGATCTGGTCTACTTACTGAACTTTTGTTAATCCTTGTATATGTGTTGATAATAAAGCACTACTAGGCATTAATTTCGTGCAAGACGTTTACTTTATATATTGTACAAATTTTTTATAATATTTTTTTTTATAAACGACCGAAATTACTGGGTTTTCCAATAAGAGATGTCATTCCAATTAAACGTAATTTTTTTAAGATAAATGGTCTGTGGCTGATTAAATAAATGTTTATTTCAATGTCAAAAGGAAGATATGCCATTAATAATTGAAAACAATATTACGGTATCTTTTTTATGAAATTTTTCATCACCAAAACGCAAAGTGGCTGCTGTATGCCCTCAATAGCTTCACGGATTTCATCTTTGAAGTCTTGAATCTATGTTGGCCTGATGACTTAGACCTTATCTTTCACGTGACCCCAAAGGAAATAGTGGCAAGGTTAAACCACAAAGTCTCGGTGGCCAATTGCGATCATTTCTTCGAGAGATAACACGGTCCGGAAAAGTTTTCCCTAAAAGAGCGATGCTTTCGTTGATTGTATGATACGTAGCGCCGTTTTGTTGAATGTAAACTTTGTCCAAATCGACACCATCTGATTCCGGACATAGAAAATCATTAATCATCTCTCGATAACGCCCTACATTCACTGTAACTGTTGCTCCAGCATCATTTCGAAAAAGTAAGGTCTAAAGACCCAAGTCTTTAAGCAAAAAAACGACGAGAAATGGGCAAACCTCGGTTTGCTTCAACACCTTGGGCTACAGCAATCATATTCTCAGTTATTCTTGAGCAACACGCACGTGTTTATCTTCTCATCACTCCATTTTTTTCACCAATTTCTGTATTGGGGTCCGACAAGGAACGTCGACCGAAAAATGTTATAGTTTTACGAAACGAAGCTGTCAGGTTTTCACCATTTTTATAGTGAATTTTAATATAAGCGTTTTATTTTAATTACTGACGTAGTTCTTACTTGTCAAATGCCAAATGACTACAGCTTCAAAAGCGACCTCTACCGGAGTATCAGGGTATTCAAAATAACATTGCAACCTTATTATAAGGGTTAAAAAATACTCTAGATCGAAATTTTCTTTTTAGAGCTTTACAGTTATAAGATTTTGCTTGATTTGACTTATAAATGTAAAATTGCTCCAGCATGGTACAATAATATTAGTATAAAACATAACCAAGACAGTTTATTCATGCGTAATTTGCACGTATTGAAGCGTGAAGAGTTCAAAGTACCTTATCCACCCTATCAAATTTATAGCATTTATCAAAGCAAGCACGAAATGTTGATGAGGTTGCTTATACGCAATGGCTTTTTATTTATAGTAGGCTACTGAAATCGGTACAACATACACACATACATATAGAAATGATTGTGACATACATACACATAAATAGAAATATGATAATAATAACAAGGCTGTATCGGAACGACAAATTCATAAACATTTGTACATGTTTTGGTTAAAACAGTTCTCAAACCAATTTCCTTTCGTTTTTACGTTAACTTAAAACAACAAGGTCCAGTGTAAGGCGTTCCTTGTGTTGGTCTGACCACCAAATATGAAAAAGAGTTTTTCCTTTCGACGCCATGATACCGAAACGAAAAGAAATTGTTAATGTTGAAGCCGCACAAACTCATCGTAAACGTTAATTTTAGAATGGATGTTATCTATGATATTAAAAGGACTTAACATAAGCTTTTAACGATTTAACATTGACGGCAGCTTTTCGTTTCGGCTGGTGAATATTTCCAAATGTTTCAACCGAATTTATTTTTTGATTAAGATAAAATTTATCGCACACTTGTATAAAACCCACTTACACAACATGGATGCATGTACCTGCGTTTATGCTTTTGCATATAACACTTAATGAAGGTGGATTGAAGGTTTTTCAAGCTATTTTTATTATTTGCGTATAAATTATTTGACAGCATTGTGGTTATGTTATACTCGCATCATTTTTTTTTGTAAATTTTTAATTGCTGTTGTTGTCGTTTGTGACGTCAATCTTTGTAGTCTTTCCTTTCTTCTACTGTTCTGCTTTTGGTATTCAAATATACATACATACGTTGAATGACGACGTCATAGAGGATATGATGCTTTATCCTTATTTTTATACATACATACAAATGCATATACTGACGTTCATATACATACATACATGTATGCGTGAATACCATTTCCCGTTTCGCTTGGCTTGCTCTTTATTGAATATAGTTTAATTTGACGTTACAAAAAAAAAAGATAAAATAATTCAGTATGTATATCTACATAGATTATAAAACTTGCTGCTACTGACACTGATTGTTTGGCTGGATTGACGTTCATTGAAAAAATATATACAATATACATATATATGCATAAAGGAGTTATTTTTGACTGATAAAAGGCGTTTTTATTATGAAGAAAAATTAAATGCGTCAGGTGAAAATCTGCGTACAACCTTATTGTATTGCAGATTTCATTTGTGACATGAGACAGTTGGAAGATTAGGACAGAAATATATTTCTAAAACCGCTTACGCACAATAGGTTTAACATAAAATAACTCATACATTTTCCTACGCGCAATTTCCCGAGTACAAATTTCCTGCAGTATCCTTAGTTTTCAACGCTCGCACCCTCCACATGCTACATCCTTGCATGACTTTTGTGTGTTGCAGTCGTTGTCCTCGTTTCATTCAAGGCTTTTATTTTCAGCATACTATACACACGTATGTATACTGTGTGTAAGTATGTATGTACTTGTAAGTGCCATAAAGTTGACTAATAAAATGCATTTACTGTTTGTTATCCGTTGCTCATTGCCGGTTCAGACCTCCATCAGCCTGATTCGCTTCACACGTTGCACGAACGTCGCTTTGTTGACGTCAGTCCTCACCTTCTGTTTTATTTCAGCTGGTCGGTCGGTCGTTGACATTCCAGCCGGCTGGTGTTCGGTAATAATCTGTTTTTCAGCTTATTGCATTTCGTCTAGATGAGGGCAGTTCGTTTGTACATATGAATGTACGTATGTATGTATCTTATATATATACTAGTGCATACCGTCGTCACCCAAGTCCGTTTCTTACATTACCTTTACCATATAGATGACCTACATATTGGAGCGTACAGAAATTTGCTGAATGAAATTTTAGCCGCGACCTCTTCCTCTTCGAGTTCTTCGTCGCTTGTGTTTGAGTGTGGAATCTATTTTTAGCTACTTTGTGTGACCTCAACGACATTTTTAGTATGACCTCAATTTTGTTTGTGTGCAATTAAATATGTGTTTTTCCTTTTATCCATGCAGAGATCAAAGGCTTTCAAGAACTTTTCAAGGATTTTACAAAGAAAATCTTTTTAATTTAGTTTTTCAACTATAGGGCCATCTAGAAGTTGATTTTTTTTAATGGGTATTTACTTTAACAAACCGATTATTTTATAGCTCTGGAATAAATATGGAATTATACACGCTTCAGCAACGCATTGAAATAATTAAAATTCAATGTACTTTGCATAAAGATTTGGATCTTTAGCCTTGTAAAGTTCAGGTAACACGAAAACTCATCAGAAACGTCATGATGCTGCGAAATTTCTTCGAAAAATCATCTTGACAGAAAGCCTCGATGGCTAACTAAATAAACAAACTTGTTGCATCTGGGGCTCGAATTTTTTGTTAAAAACCCTCCAATCCACATCGTAGTCAGTGGACCTTACTTTTTCGTAAATGAGAATGAATTGCGCTAACGAGAGATGATTAATGATTTTCTTACATTCAAAAAGACGGCGCTTCGTGCCATACAGGTAACGAAACCACCGATCTTTTAAGTAAAAATCGTTCTATCGAGGTGGTGACCTTGCGATTTAATCTTGCGACTTCTTCCTTTGAGGCCTCTTGAAAGATATCGTCTACGTCAATAGGCCAACGTCGATTGAATTCCTCAAAAATAAGATTCATGAAGCTATTTAGGGCAAGCTTGTACAGCAGCCACTTTGTTGCCATGGCGGCCATTTGACTGATATTATTTTCCATTAATTTATTCGATAATTTATCTCAACAAATATCGAAATAACAGCTCTTATTGAAAAGCCCTGGAGACAGGCTATGCCACGGTAGGCAATTCGAAAGAAAGTTTATATTCTATGGAAAGAAAGTTTAGTTCATTGTCTGTTCGAACGACACTCGACTCATTCACCACCTAAGGGAACAAGTTGCTGCCAATGTCATTTCGTTGAACTTGCTGCTTTGAAAATAAGGATTTTTATAGACCTTTGTGGCAACTACCGACTCAAAATACTAGTTCATGTTTTTGCATACGGTTCAAATAGTAATTGTTTTGGAGATTCTTTTCCGGCACATTTTAATTTTATTTTTGTTTTTAAATAAACACGCAAATTCAATGCAGCCAACGCAACGCAGCTTTTGTGGATGGGCGCGTTGTGGCGTGCGTGAGCATTCTCGGCAACATCTTGCGTTGACCTTAGTCATTCCAAGGTGAAGGTACAGGCTTTTTAAAAACGGTTATATCGGATGCTCCAATCATTTATGCAAGTGGTTTATTTTTTAGTCGAGTAGCGTCGAGGACAATATTTTGAATATATTGGATAAGTCTATTCAAGGGATTGGATACCCTTCCTTGTTTAAATAATCTATGCCACCTATACATCATGGCGTTCTCCAAACAAGAGTTACGCTGTTTCTACCAATGAAATCAAATTAATTATGGTCGAAACTGATTTTCCATGCTTGATCTTTATAACGGTTTGATATTCCTTTTACTCCATTTTTGGCATTTCACTCCCAGTTATTTTTTGCTTTATTGGTTATATCTCAAAAACTAATTGTCTAATAGCAATGGAACTTTTGTATGCTATCCTAATGAGCCTAATCACTCTCCTACAACACTCATTACACGAGCATGAAAACTCTCCCTCGTATGATCTCTAGGAAAAAAGATTTTTTTGTTGAATGTCTCATCGCATTTTCATTAATATATATGTTATAAACAACTAATTGATAAAAACTAAGCTCAATAACAATTTCTCATCTTTTCCTCTCCGTCTCTTTTTACTTACAGATCTCACGTCAAAGTATCGATGCTTGCAAGGATTATTTCCGCGATGACTTAATTAAGGCTGATTGGTCACTCATGGTTGAATTGAAGAAGCTTTTTGAAATTTTGTAAGCTTCAAAGCAAAAGCAAAATAAAGCGCATAAAACAACATTTAAATAAATTTAATTAAATAAGCAGAAAAATCATTGCAAATGAAAATTAATTAAACACAAAAATTATGCAGACAAAAATTACAAACGAATATTAAAAGAAATTAAATAAAAAAAAAATGAAGCAAATAAAATAAAAATAAAAAGAATATGGAACTGCATTGCAGCGCTTACGCAGCAAAGAAAAAAACATGAATAAAAAAGCTGATTTTCATTGTATCACCGTCAAACCTAATTTATAGTTCTTAAAACTTTACATTTTCTGACCTTAAACCACGCCTATAGCTTAATATGTTATTATAGTTATTATTTTGTTTTTTAGTTTTTTCCTTTGCTCGTTCCTTCCAATAAAATATTGCTGTCGAGCGGCTGCAAAAGATTTTTCGAAATGAATTCAAAAAATGTTTATTTATTTATTTCTCGTCTTCTTTTCTCAATTCACACACTGTTATTGTTTTCATCCCCTTTAAGGATTTTAATATTTATTTTTCAAATTATTTAAGCGCAGACATTAGTGGAGTTGTTGTTTTTAGAGCTAATGCAGTTTTCTGGTCGTTAAAAATTATTTATTTGGATAGATAAAAAAAATAATAATGTATTTATAATTTTGAAATCTGAAATTTAATTAATATGCAAACTTTTTTATTCAAAACTGTTTTTTACATATTTTTTATATAATATATACATACATGCATACACGTACATACTGAGTGTTCATAAAATTTTCATAAATGTTGAATCCATCATTAATGTAACACAAATAAAAGAGTGGCGATAATATTAATTAAATAGTAAATATTTTTCTGTTTCATTTAATCGGGGAAAAATATAAAAAATATGAGTATATAACTAAAATAGGCGAACCTCTATGTATTTAAATGAAATTGGGTAGTCTTTAGCCATGCTATGTTGTTATTAGATTAATTGTCCACATCCATAAATGGTCTGAAATGAAGCGTTAATTCAAAGTGTTTCGAAAAAAATCGGGAAATGTTTTTTTCGACGATCGCATATTGGCACCCTCTCCTCATAAAAATCTAAGCGGTTAGAATATCTATTAAACCTTTGCTTTTGGACTACGGTTTATTTGAGCTGTGACATTTTCAAAGACACTCCCGATGTGTGAAATATTCAGAGAAGATTTGCGGTTTGTGAAATGCTTCAGCTTACGCTTGAATTATGGATTAATTTGAGTACCTCGATGCGCAGGATTATGTAAAAAAATACCTCGGTGTGATGGCTTATAAAGTCCAATCGGTTTAAGATCTGTAGCCACCTGAGCATTCGATACGATTTCACTTCGTTCAATGGACTGATGATAGAGATGAGCATTTTTTTTTACGAAAAATCATATTTTCCGATGAAGCTCATTTTCATTTTGACGGCTCACACATCGCGTCATAATTGATACGTTCTATTTCGAAAACTTGGAAGGAGCTGCTGATAGATCTAAATTTTTCATACAAACAAATCAATATTCTAATTATTAACACAAAAGGCATACAAGATAAGTAGTTAGTTGGTGATTAGAAAAATAAAAATAATTTTTTGGATGTTGGTCGAAGTACTAGGACTCGAACTTTCAAATAAAAATAGTCTTAATTCCCAATTAGATGCCGTATACAACGGTATCGTAACGCTTAATTAAGATCGTAGCGTGTTCAGTGACTCATAATTAGCATAAACACGTTCTTTCATGATTATTAGAGAATCAGCCTTTGAGCTTTCGTCAACAAAGCAACATAATCGGAGTAAAAAATGAAATATGGAAAAAATCGAATACCGTGGCGTTATGAAGTTCCTTGCCAAGCAAGGAATTTTCGTTGGTACCATAATGAATGACACAGTTAAACAAGGAAGTGTATCCATTGATGAGTTTCCAAGGTTGCACGGGAGCGGTCAGAATTCATATAATAAATTGAAAAAAATGCTCGTCTAAAGAAGAAACCACTACCAGGAACGGTTAGAGTACCCTATACAACCATTTTCAAAACCCTGTACGATTATCTTGGCATGATTTATGGCAGGACAGATGGACGTTGAGAATGCTTATGTCTCGGCAAAAACAAGAGGCGCGTTCCGCGGGCACCCATCTGTTTCCGAAAATAAAAAGAGAGCTGAGGGGTAGAAAATGTATCACCGATGGTGAAATCAAGTAGGCAGTTTCGGTTTTTTTGGAATATAAAGAGAAAACATTTATTCACAAATGTATTAATTGATAGATCTTGCATTATTATGGTGAAAATATAGAAAAGAAATAATTTATAATTTTTTTATGTATAAATATAATTTGTTGCTTTATGAACAAAAGTGTGAAAAAAAACAATGTAATCCGCTTATAAGCGAGCTGAAGCATTTTTTGCATTTTTTATGCTTTTTACAAAACCAAATAAATCAGTTTTAAGCCGAACTATAAATAGCGTCAAGTCGAAAAAGTCAGAGGACATAAGTCACAAGCGAAAGGACAAAGGCCAAACTGTAATGCAATTACTTTGCACATACGTACATATATCCAACCGCAGTTGTCCTTAAGCGTATCCTGTGCTGTGTGCGTTGAACATTCAAAACAAAAGCAACTCAGAGAGCGTGTGGTCCGCCGCAACTTCAGCAACAGTTCCATTGGCTTTTTTCTTCATCCATTCAAGGTAATTGATTACGCATGCAACAGCGAAGGAAGGAAGAATTCTGCGCCGAAAAATTGTTGCAAACGCTGAATGAGAGCAGGCGAGCGTGTTAAACTGGAGCAAAAGTTCAAGAGTGTGTTTGCCGATGGTTCATAAACCTCCGGCGTGATGTACATGCTCGTATTTACAATGCAATGCTGTAAACGTTCGTACATACATACATACAAACGTCCTTCTATGTAATTCTATAAATAGAATTATATACAACAACATACTTATATGTTTAAATGCATATACATACATACATACATACACATATGCCTGCTCTCGTAGGGTCATTAAAAAAATTAGTTGACGCTTTCATTGCTTGTATGTATGCATTGCAGTTGTGCTATTCATCTTTGTATAGGAGTCCGCGCTGGCGATTTTTCGTTGTATTTCGCCTCTAATGTCCTTGCTCTACTTTCGTTATTGGTTTGTGTTTGACTCTTTGAGTTGATATAATATCTCTGCATATATTTTCAATCCATGCAGGTACTTGCTGTCCATATGCATATATGTATGTATCTATATGCATATGCACATATATACTCACGTATCGACATCGAGTCATCATTTGAGTCAATGAAAATGGCATTTTACAAATTTATAAGCTACTCCTGCGTTTTTGTTGCAAATCCACCAGCGTCATGTCAGTCTGTCGGCTGTAGAGTTGAGTTGCGAGGCTGGACGCAGTTTTCTTCATGCAACTATATTAACATTCTACTGCTCGACTTTAGTAGAAAAGACAATTGGATTTGGACTCCAGAGTGATAAAGTGAGGTTAAGTGAAGTAAAACCTTATGATGTTAACTAACTTGCCATTAAATTCTACAGTTGTAATGCTTCCAACCCTCAAAAATTCACCCTCCAAACCAAAAACTCGACTCTAGTTAGAAATGTAATAGTCAACTGAAGTTAACAAAACTGTAAATACTCATTCTGGAGAAGTTTGTCGTTGGTTCGTTTAAGTAGATAATTTTCTTATAAAAGAACTAGTTATTTATTCTTAAGGTTGAACTCGTCATTTATTTTCCCAGCATTGCTATAATCTTCTCTATAAGCTCCCACTTGGTACAACTCGATCTGACGTCGGTGCTATAAAGCTTTCGAAGAGATTATCAGTACTAAATGTCTTTGAGCTGAGATCGGGGTTTGAGGTTATCGAAATATGTAATGAATGTAATTTGGATTTGTATCAAGTTTCCTGTGCTGAGCCCATTTCCAAGAAGATCTTTGCAAAAAAAGGTGCTGAAATGCTCCATATATAATCTGAATTCAATTGCCATAAGATCCAATAATCCTTCTTGGTATCGTTTTGGCATCCCCTCGTTTCATCAAAACATCATCTTAGATCGCCGACCAGTCACAAAGATCTTCCGTAAAGCAACTCATTTAGAATTGTTCCAACTTTGATTTGACCTAGCTCAAGCTGTGACCTACAAATAAACAAAGCTCGTGGTAGCTCTAAGAAGCTTCTCTAAATTTTCTAGTCTATAAATTCCCTTGAAGTTTCTCTTGAAATTGATCTTTAGAACTTCCATGATTCCGACGCACAGTTCGCCATAAAAGTTAAAAATTAAAGAAAATTTGGTCTCTGACTAGTGATCAATAAGGTGACCTCAATCAAAATCTAAATCAGGAAACTTATCCAAGCGAACGTTGCGCCAAAGTAGCATCTGGAATAAAGCATACCCCATCCACATGCGGTTCTAATTTGCGTCACAGAACACATCAACTGTTAAATATTCTCGTTGTTGCTATGTACATACGAATACGTACATAAACGTATATGCTTTTATATACATTCGTAAACTGCTATTCATTGCGATGAAGTCACGTGTGGCAGCTGGCCTAGTTACTCAGCCAAATGACTATATAGACGCTCGTCACTTTTGTCGCAGACTCCAAATACTAGCGTCATTGAAACTGCAGTTGACTGACGTATACACACGAGTATACATACGTGTGAGCTTGTGGTTATGTACCGAAACTCCATTCATGGTTTTCAAGCGTCGAAAGCAACAACTACACGCTTGTAGTATATATTTCCATGCACATAAATATGATGCACATTATGTATATGCACTGCAGCATTCAGTAGTCCGGGGCTCATTCATAGTTTCAACTCGCTACCAAGGCTTTGCGACTGCAATTTTTCATTCACTCTTCGTGCCTCCCTTTAAAACATTTGTATGTATATTATGTACGTCTGAATGGGAGGAAAGCAGCGAATGTTGCATTCGAGATGTTTTGGCCCATATTTTGAACGTCTATTTCACTGGGCTCCTCATGATTTTCACTCGCTCACCATGCGCCTTCTATCGATTTTAACAGTCCTCTCTGTTGGGCGTTGACCTCGACGGCTAGTCGACACAATGCTCCAGTTTTGTTCGTGTACGAGCAAAATGCTGCGGCGTTGGCAATATTCTGGGATATATAATATACTCATATGTATATATATATGTATGTATGTAAGTGCGCTATGCTAAAAATAGCTATGCAGCATTCAACCTTTCTTATATATTTACATAAACCGAAGGTCCTTTGGAGTAGTTAAAATACCAGTCACCGCCGAAGAGGCTGTTTTATTTTTGTTGCGATGAAGGAATGTTTTTTCCAAAAGTTGCATAAATTTTGGTTTGATAGAAACATAGACACTTGCTTAACTTTGATGTCTCACGGCCTTAACGTCATAATTTTCTAACTTTCTACCAGTCAGAGGTCGGACATCCTGCAACCAGAAACACCGTTTATTCTCTGTACGTAGCGCCCCAAAAAGTTCGCTAACAAGAGCGCTTAAACAAATCATAGCTGACGTCACTTTTCATGCTAAGGAAAATAATGGAAATATCGTAATGACTTATCTGACTATTTTCGCTCATCGCTTCTCGAATGGTACCACCACATCAAAAAAAAAAGTAGTTGTAGCGACTGCTTTGCGCTGGTAAGATTTGGAATGCACCAGGATTTGCAAAAACTGGGTTCAAGTATAGGATGTAAATGAGATGAAGGGGTAAGTTTGGCATAAATTAAAAAAAAAATTAACTAACCGATAAGTGTAGAGAAGCCACTTTCTTCTAAAAAATCCATATTTTAAATCGGCTATAAAATTCCTAACAATAATTATTAT